GTGTTTGTGTGTGTGTGTGTGTGTGTGTGTGTGTGTGTGTGTGATTAGAACTGTTTCCCCAGGTATAATACTGTCTGAGAGTAAATCTATGCTAATTTTGCGGACGCAGGTGGAGTACGTTTTCACAGACAAAACTGGAACCCTTACTGAGAACGAGATGCAGTTTAGGGAGTGTTCTATCAACGGTATCAAATACCAGGAGATCAACGGGAAGCTTGTCCCTGAAGGAATGACAGAAGACTCTCCAGATGGATCAGTGCCTTGTTTGGTAAGGTTTGTGAGGATAGAGGATTTTTTCTTGGTCCATGCCATAGACTGTATAAAAACATGGACGTAATGTATGTGATGTCACCCGTAGGTTTCTGAATATAATTTTTGAAGCCCAAAGTGGGCGGAACTGGCCGTGGCCATCTTGGCAACGCGTCACTCCCAGATAATCGAAAATGGGCAAAGAGGCAGAAACCACACCCATCTAGCTCGACGGTGGTGACAGCAGCTGCAATCCACCTGTCACTCAAGTGGCCACGACCTTAATTATGCAGAACTTTAAGGCTTAATATAATTTAAACGGATAAGTTATAAAAAAAAAATCACCCCCCTCACAGTTGTCATGAAGGGCAAAATTAACTATTTAGACCAAAACCACTTTTTGTACCAGGCTGTAAACATATTTTTTTTCTGCTGTAAAGTTGGGCATTTTAACATGGGGAGTCTATGGGACTGACTCCCTTTTGGAGCCAGCCTCTAGCGGCCAGTCGATGAATTGCAGTTTAAGTCACTTCCGTGTTGGTTTCAAGAGAGAGACCGTAAGGTTGCCGCTTGGTCCATGCACAATTGGAAACCCTAAGCAAAATAGTGAATTTCTTTACAATCTGTCCTGTGGATGCTGTGGGTACACCTTTCTTTGGGTCAGATCTCAACTTGTTCGATCACAGTTGCACTATTAGGTTAGTGTTAAGTTATAGCGCCCTCTTGCATTGAAAATTCATGAAATTTGGCAAGTTTCCTCAGAATGTTCTGTTGTCCATGTTTTAATTTTCATGAAGTTTGGATCAAATGGTTACAAGATATAGGCACACATATTGGCCTATATCTGCTAACGGATTAACCCTTTAAGCCCGAGGGGGGACACCTCCCGCACGAAAAAATTCATAATCAAATTACTAAGCAACCCCTGAATGGAATAACACAAAATAGGTATCATTTTAAAGCTTCGAATCAACTCTTAACGAGCGTTGAGCAGTCCCTCTAAACCGGAGTGTACCACGGGCGGGACGCCCCACCTCCGCGAAAATATTACTAATCATATTTTTCAAACCACTGCCTTGATCAAAAAAAAAAATATCATTTGAAAGCTTAGAGTCTGATCTTTACAATGCATGTAGCCGCTTTGATTAACTCCAAAGCAGTGCCGAGTTATTTACTGATAAATGACAACAAAAAATTCATCATTTACAAAATATGTTTTTTGTGCCATGTACTCTAATATGTCAAAAACATCATACAGCTCAGATAGTCATGTGTCATATGTAATTTGAAAGGTCTCATCGAGTAGAATAAAACAAGCATAATTGTTTGTGGCTTTGAATAAACTGGAACAAGTTTTTGTACAAGAAGTCACCCCCAGACCCATATGAAAATAATATATTGATGTCACCATTTTACTTGTAACTTCATAAAACATGCTCAGATCGTGGAAAAATATTTTTTTTTAGAACAGATTCTCCTGATTAAAAAGAGCTCAAAATCATATAATCCGTCATTTATAGCTAAAGATATTCCTCAAGAATTTATAACGCACATAAAACTGCACAGGCGGCATGTAGCTTAGCAAAAAAATCTAAGGTAGCTGTCATGTAGCATTTTCGTTTGTAACTTCATAAAACATGCATATATCATAGAAAATGATATATTCATTATTAGCAGAAAATTCTCCCGATTAAAAAGAGCCCAAACTCACCATAATCCATCGTTCAGATCTAAAGATATCACTCATAGAGCTACAACACATAAAATAGAATTAGGTCATGTAGCTTAGCAAAAAAATCAGAGGTTGCAGTCCTGTGCTGTTTTAGCTCGTAACTTCACGAAACATGCAAAGATCTTGAAAAACCGCACAGAAAATTATCCTGATTAAAAAGAGCCCAAATTTACCATAATCCGCCGATCAGATCTAAAGATTCCGTTCATAGAGCTGTAACACATGAAACCAGACAGGCGCAGCAGAATAAACAACTGTACTTTCACTTTGCGCTTTTATTTGTAACTTCATGAAACATGCTCCGATCGTGGAAAATGGCATATCATTATTTACAGCAGATTCTCACGATTGAAATGAGTCCAAAATCAAAACAATCCATTGCGTCTTTCGTGTGTAAATAATACCTAAACCCATGAATTGAAGAAATCAGTTGGAGAGCTCCACTGAACACTTGGCAAGCAGAATGTAAAACCTAGAATATTTCTGTGTATTTTACGTTTTATATAACTTTTTTTTATTTTGTATAATTGGGTATCATTTTAAATCTTAGAAATTCAGCTTTCCAATGCATCCAACCATTTTGATCAACTCCTAACCAGTGCTGCCTAGTTCCTCTAAACCAGAGTGTACCGCCGGCAGGCGCCCCCTAGCGAGGAAAAAAAGAATCATATTTTTCAAAATCACTGCATTGATCAACACAAAATAGGTGTCATTTGAAAGCTTGGAGTCTGGCCTTTACAATGCATGTAGCCACTTTGATTAACTCCTAAGTAGTGCGGAGTTATTTGCGGATAAATAGATTTTTTTTTTTTTTTCATAATTTATGAAAAAAATTTTTTTTGTGCCATGTACTCTAATATGTCAGAAACCTCATACAGCTCAGATAGTCATGTTTCATATGTCATTTGAAAGGTCTGATTGAGACCTGTAGAATAAAATAGATATAAATGTTTGGGGCTTTGATTAAACTTGAGTGAGGCATTACTTTAAATTCAAAACAACAATTTCAAAACTGTAAAGGGCTAAGAGAAGGGCTACCTTGGTTCCAAATGCTTTAACTTTTGATTACTTCGTGGTATCACCACAAAATTTAATTCACATACAGCACACATGTTGGGTCCTCCTACCTTATGGGCCTATTTTGTTACAAAATACTGTAACTTTTGGATACTTTATGCTATCACCACATAATTTGAAACAAATACAGCTAACATGCTGGGGAACATCATGGGAATTTTCCTCCTACCTTATTTCTGTCCTGAAATATTGAATGTCAAATAATACAGATATGAAAAATTTATCTTGGACACTCAAATGTTTCTTACATTTTATCAGCTATTTCTCAGCAGGAGAATGTGCATATAAAATAATCCCCCCCCCCCAAAAGTACAGAAAGTTTTCTCTCATTTGACTCTCCTGGTTATTTGGTAACTTCAGTGAGGCAAAAATGCCCTCAGGACTTAAAGGATTAAATTAATTCAAATTCTTTCAGTTGTTTTTGTCAGAAGCATTTCTAGTTGATATCCACCAAATTTCATGCAAATCGGACCAATGGCCTAGGACGAAAACGTTTGACAAAAGAACAAATCTCAGTGACAGAATTTTTTCTTTTTATTTATTTATTTTATTTGTGGAAATTGATACAGATATGATTAGCTTATTTGGAGAGACTGAAGTTTTTGGCAAAAACTTATCGAACCAGCGATTTTCACAAAATTTGGAACTTACTCATTTTCACACAATGTGCAAATATATAAAATGTTGTAACATTAGGCCATGTTGTTATTAGCCACAGAATGTGGACTGGAAGATGGTGGCAATGTTATTTTGTTTTGTTTTTATGTAGCCGAGTCATTTTAGAGCACATGTTAAGACATCCACCAAAGAGGATGCATATCATTGTTCAACTTTATTGATCATACGGTTATGCCATAATTAAAAAAGATTTTGAAAGATTTAGCACCGTCTATAGGTGCAATTTTGACACTCTGTGCTTGGACTTCTAATGAATATTAAACAAAAAATAAATAAAAATAACTACTTCAGCCAGTTGCCAAGGCATTTCTCATTTTAATTGAATTGTACGAAAATAACTAAAACATATAAGAAGTACTAAAAATGACAAAAACACAATAAAATGAATAAAAATAACTAAAAGCTACAAACTTTGAAATATTAAAACAACTAGAATTGTATCTCTATGATACTAAAATAACACTAGTTTGTGCTAAATTCTGATGACATTAATTATTAAATTGCAATATTTTTACCTTATATTTTAAGTTTTAAATGAAATAGGACCTGTTTTTGTGATACATGATAAACATTACAGTGGTGACATTCTTCAACTGGTCATGTTTTAAATCAAAGTGTGACAGTATTATTTTGTGTGTACACCTTTCAGAACAGGGAGGAGGAGTTGTTCCTGAAAGCCGTCTCACTGTGTCACACGGTGCAGATCAGTTATGATCAAACGGATGGGCCGGGAGACCCGTTCTCACATGCCAATGGCTTCTCTCCTCAGATGGAGTATTACGCCTCTTCTCCTGATGAGAAAGCACTAGTGGAAGCCACCAAGAGGTGAGAGCACAGCTGCAGCTCAGTTTCTCTGTCACCTGCTACTGTGTATTTCTGCAGTCAGTTGTGCTAAATATAATCTTTTGACCATGACTGTTGAAACATTTGACTACATCTGTGGAAAAAAAAAAAAAAACTTTTTCTGTGAACCATATCTTTAAATTATGTTTTTGACTGCAGGGTGGGTGTCACATTTATAGGAAGCCATGGAGAAAACATGGAGATTAAAACATTTGGAAAAGCAGAGAAGTACATCACACTTTTCTGTTTATTTTAGATGACTTAATGTGAACCATATTCATAAAGTTGTTTAGCTTTTAGAGTTGTGTTTAACAGCTATCTTTCCGCCCGCAGATACAAACTCCTCCACGTTCTGGAGTTTGACGCAAACCGCAGAAGAATGAGTGTGATTCTGCAGAAGCCCTCAGGCATGTGCCTCTGATCACACATGTGCTGTTTGTGACTGAACCGCAGCGCGTGAGGAGTTATCTAATGACATTGTGTCTCTCATTAGGTGAAAAGGTGCTATTCACGAAAGGAGCCGAATCAGCCATTCTGCCCTACACCACGAGTGGCGAGATCGATAAAACCAGAGTCCACGTGGATGAGTTTGCTCTGGTGAGCTCTCTACATCATGCTGCCATGCTTGCATACTAGTTCACTCTAGTTAGGGGTGCTTGAAGTTTCACTGTTGCTAATAAGTAGTAAAATGGACCATATCCTGATCCCAAAGTATTCAGTGTACAACTCGTCCACACCGGATTTTGCGGCGTGTGGAGAAGTGCGGTGTTACTTTTCTCAAAGCTACATTTTGGCAATTTTCACCGGACAATTAAGTGGTTTAAAAAAAAAATAATCACATAGACTTACATTCGAAGGCGGGATTGAGTTATACTGTATCTCAAGACCAGGGGCTGGATTTATGAAAATATTGTTAAGAAACAATTTTCTTAAGATAAGTTGTAAGAGGTCTGTAAAAATTTGAAATTCTTTCAAAAATTCAGATTCATTCTTAAGAACATGCGTTTTAGTTATCCATTATAATGTCATATTTAGCTACCTGTGTCCTTCAGCAAGTAGAAAATATACAGAAATTGAATAAAGTTTTCAAACACTAAATTTTAAATGAAATATAGATGAATCCTTAAAGCTACAAAAGTTATTGATTTCCTTTTTTTTTTCTTTTGTTCTTTGATGAACAGACATCACAGCAGCTGGTTTATTAGGTTATTTGGCTGCTTATTTTCTTTTTTTTTTCTTTTGTTCTTTGATGAACAGACATCACAGCAGCTGGTTTATTAGGTTATTTGGCTGCTATTACTTTAAGAGCTGCCGCTGCTGAATGTGATGCGGATCTGACGCATACGCTTGTAGTTTCATTCACGCTTTAATATGAAATAATACATGCTACAGCGCGCTGCCATATTTGTGTGTGTAATTGAAGAGCACGTGCTACGAGCACAGTATAACGGCTGACAGGACAGGAAGATTCATTTTTACTGACGTATGGCCTGACAACATCTCATCACTGTTGTAATGTACTGTTGTTAATATTTGTCTTAATTTGTACCCAATAAATTCAGTAAAATTCAGTAAAGTTAGTAGTAGGGATGGGCGATATGGGCTTAAAAATATATCACGATATTTCTGGTATTTATTGCAATAACTATATCAATGACAATAATTCAGGGAATCCTGTTTCTTTAGAGAAAAGTATTAACTTTCCTATTTTTACCCAAAATAGGGTGCTGTGAGCATTAACGAGTACACACGTAATGTAAAGACTGTTTAATTCATACTGGAAGCCGGAGGGCGCTCTTGCACAGAAACTCCACGTATCCATAGCAGAAGAAATACTACTGATGATGCTCCAGGAAGGTGTCCAGTTATTGCCGAATAAAACGCACAACGGAGATAGAGACATTTTAACTGATGAAACTTGAGAAAAATAAACATACGATTGCACAAAATATATGGTTTATCTGTGTTCTTCAATCTTGGGTATTTTTATTAGGAAAGTATATTTATAATGCAATGTTAATCGACATGGCCTTTATCACTGTATATAATGCTATCATTCTGTAATATGAAACCACGTCTGGTCACAAAAAGAAGTATTTCAAACACTCAACTATGTTATTAAGTTAATTTGGAGAAAAAGCATGTCAATAAATTATATATTTGTTGGACAACAGGTTTGTAAACAGGCTCATACACATGCAAAACTGTATCGCAAACCCTAACCAAACCAGTTACAGATTGTAAAAGGAGCTCAAGCTTCTCATTTAGCGATATAGGCTACTCCTCTTCAATTTCACGTCCGCCTTCCGCGATGTCGCTCAACACTGTCGCACACAGAAATATGTCAACAACTAGACTTTATCGTTATTATCGCGGGAAGACTAATTCTTATTGTGGGGAGAATCTTTACCGGTATAAAGTTAGTAAAGCTAGTTAGTAGCTATCCCATTATGGTTCGGTCAAATTTACTGTTACTCAGCAAAATGTTGTAGGCAAATTCCAGTCATTTCAGTTGGAATTCATGCGATTAAGAATTCATCTCAATTATTCATATTGACCAACAGAAAGCTGTTTGGTTGTGAAAATGACTCGAGTGTGAGCTATGATTAATACATAACCACATTATTGACAACAGAAAATGGGCCATTTTTGTCCACACAATTTTGCCTAAATTTTGCAAATGTGTTTATTTACAGTGATTTTTAATAAGATTATTTTTGGAAATTTTAATTCTTCTTAGGTTTTTTTTTTTTCTTTAGAACAATCTTAAGAAAACAAAAATAGCATTCCTAAATGTTTTAGATGACACAAAATATTCTTAACTTCATTAAATTAGAAAATAAGAAAAATAGCAGTTACTGAGAATTTTACAAAGAATATTTCATGTATTCAGCCCCACAATATCGTAGAGACTGATTTGTACAGGAAACAACTGCCTAGACAAATCACCTCAAAATGCCCTAGCAACTTCTCACAAGAATGGATGAGCGAATAGCCACTAAACTTTTTCTTCAGACATCTAAAAGTCTAGTTGAAATGTCGAGGTCTGGTCCGAGTTCAGCTTTTCTAATTCAAATGATGTTGATGGGAGCACTGCAGTTAATTAGCTCCGTTAGCTGTCCTCATTATCAGCTGTGCTGAAACCCATGAGTGTCTTCAGACTCACATCGCACACACACACACACACACACGCTCCCGGCAGTCCTCAGAGGATTGTATTGAGACTCATGGGATGTTTCAGACACAACAGCCACATTGAAATGCTCCTCCATACGCTGAATGCTCTCTATGTCTGCGCTTAAGAGCATTAACTCAATTATGGACGTGGAGCTCGGGACTGTGGCTTTCAAGCAGCTTCTTGGCCAGCAGTTCACCATCAGTTCTACTTTATATCAGCTTTTGTATTACATTATTTTGTGTATAATTGATCCTTCATTTGTGCACGAATCAGTAAAATGGACTAGTTTAACTTTCTCCCTCATGTGTTTGTCCCATCTCACTTTTGTAGAAGGGTTTGCGGACGTTAGTGGTGGCCTGCAGACACTTCAGTGCAGATGAGTATCAGGAAGTGGACCGGCGGCTCCATGAAGCCAGAACGGCTCTGCAGCAGAGAGAGGAACGACTGGTCGAGGTCTTCAGCTTCATCGAGAAAGACCTGGAGCTGCTGGGAGCGACTGGGGTGGAGGACAAGTGAGTCAACACACACACACACAAGGATGCTGTTGTTTGAATAAGTACAGCTTTTTTTACTCAAGAAACACTGTCTATAAGGCTAATGTTTTTGTGTGTTTGAAGAGTGGAGAAGAACCTTAGCTTTTGCCGTCTAGTTGTAGCCAATATACTTGTTTTAAATATCTTGTGCATAGCGGTTCATCTTTTATATCATGGCCAAATGTATTAAACAACAAGCAAAACTGAGCTCCCATATACCTACAATAAACTTTATAACCTGTAAATTGATGAAGACCTAATGCGATTAATTTACTGCCTCAGATCCCGCCATGACGGACAAAACACAGATCTTCACTCGTCAAACACCTCGTTAACTCCATTTGAGAATAATTTTCAGAAAATGTTAAGTGCAAGTGTCTGATCATATATAAAGCCAAAATACCATCTCTGACAACGCATTGTTAATTATTGGGTGGGGGGGGGGGGACTTCCCCCTTTT